CCCTTCCATCCTGGGTCAGCGAGGGGTGGGAGGGCCCCATCTCAGACAGTTCTGTGAGGTACTGGGATGCTGGTCTACTTTGCCATGGATTAGGGAGTAACAGGCATGCAGAGCAGGGTAGGGTCTCTGAATACTATTCCTTGCAAGGTGGTCCTTTGTGTCAGATGATCAGGCCTCCCTGACTTTCACATTCCCACAGGTTGTATCCAATTAGCGGATCAGAAGCCAAGGGCTGGTTGTGCAAAGTGGCTTCTGCCACATCCTCTTCTTTGCTGTCTCTACTGAAACAAAAGGGCACAGCCTTGCCCCCCATCCCCAAGCAACTGGGGGAAGCTTCACACAAGGAGCTGGGCCGAGCTCAATTAAAGTGGGTGAGAAGAGAAGCTTCCTCTGAGAAGGAAGATACCTGCTCCTTACCCCAATGGGCAGACCTAATCAATCTCAAAGCTTGAGATTGTCTGCATTCTGGGGAGGAGGGTCAGGCACCCTCTTAGCACACAGACTCAGGTTGGTGAGCATTTGCCACAGCAGTTTATTTTTATCCTGAGCTAACGAATGTGACCATTAAAAGGATGAGGGGAGGCAAAGTGGAGTAGGTCTCTCAGCCGCTGTCTTGTAAGCTGAGGCCTGGGGCAAGGCATGCTTTTCTGAGATGTCCGCTTAATCAGGGCAGCTAGACTTCACACACTGCTCTCGGCTTTGCCTGCCATTAGCCTCAACACAATCTACCAGGGACTGGCCACTGCCCCTGGCAGGCAAGGCATGTGCAAAGATTCACAGGCAGAGGTGGGTGTTCCAGAGACTGGGAAATTGAGAGATTCCAGGGTGTGGGAGGGAACCTGCCTCAGGAGGGGTCAGCCTGAGGGGGCTATAGAAGTCTAGTATAGCAAAGTGGAATTTCCCAGTTAATGCATGAAAGAGCTGCTTCTCCCAATGTCCTCCTGTTTAGTCCCCACAATTACAAACAACTCGTTTCTAGTTGCTGCCCTGCCCACTGCCCGCCTGAACGGCCAATCAACTCCCCTCTTCACCTGTTCCCTTCTCTCCCCGCCAAAGGGCTCTTCTGCAAACCCAAAATTCTGGGGGGGCAGGGGGGGAGCAGTGTGAGTGGGGGACGTTTAGGGACCGTCTGAGCATTTGCCCAAGAGGAGAGGCTATCATGTCTGTCTCCATCAGGAGAGGGACAGCAGGACACCAGAATGAACTAAAAACCTTGTGTAGGGCTTCTCTGGGCTGGGGGTATCGGGAAGGAAGTCCCATGATCGCTTATTCCTTTCCCATTTGGGTCCTGGCTCATCCCCTCCAGATGCCTGTTTCATCTCAGGGGCGCCCCCTTTCCCCGGAGGGTGCTGGAGACTCACCCATCATCAGCTGGGCGGTTGGGTCCCAGCCCTTGCATTCACAGTGCACAGTGGCTCATTAAAAATGAAAGCATTCTCTGGCAAGTGCTCTTTGCAAGGCAGCAGGGAGGAAGAGGAGGGGAAAAATGCACAGTTGATGGAGCCAAAGGACGCTGGCCAGAGGGCCGTGTTGGCAGGCAGCGTGGAGAGTCTTCAGACTTGCTACTTCCCAGCACAGAAGCAGGCTTGTAAAGATCACAGCTGTTGGGTTACGCTGGAGTTCATATCACAGCTTATCAAAGAGGCTGGCTTTTTTCCCTCCTCTCCTTTTCTCCCGAGTATAAGTGGGGTGGTTCACAGGCAGACAAGGCCTGGGCTTGTTCTGCCTGCATTAGCATGGAGGGTGGGAAGAGACTGGAGGGCTGCAAAGCACACCGACACCTACTCTGGGCAGAGTTGGTTTAGCGGGGCCGGGAAGGGTGCTGGTGGGTGCCCTGGGCGCCAGGGTAGCAGTGCTGGCTCTCGGCACACAAGGTTTGATTATCTCTCACTCTGGTCTGGATTTCCCTCCCCACAGACCACCGGGGGAGGAGAAAGCCAAAGCCATGTCATGAGGCTGGACAACAGCTCCCCTTCATCAGCCCTGGCCCCAGAACCCCTTATCTTGCTTAACCCAACTCAGAACAGCACTATGAGCAGCTCTGTTTCATGCACAAAACAGGAAGAGCTTGGAAACAGGCAACATAGCTGTAATGGGAGGAACTGGGGTTTGAACCCCAGTCTGATTCCAGAGATCATGCTCTTCCGCAGGTTCAGGGAAGGGGTGCAGGTGGTGGGGCAGGGCTGGGGTCTGTGTTGGCCTCCTCCCTGCACCCTTCCCCTCACATCTCACCTTCCTGCCACATGTGGGCTTGGCCTCAGCTCCCTGCAACCACGGGAAGGCCCTGTGAGGCTGGCTGAGAGACCAGGAGGGTTTTGCAGCCTTAAGTTTCCTGAACCTTAACACACACCTAAATGTTACATCTGCCATGTGGGCACTGAGGTCCGGCCACCCAGGCCTGGCTGCGGCTGGGGAGTCCCATTCCTATCCCTGACTCCATAGCATGATGCAGCCTGAGGGAGCTGTGTGGGGAGACAGAAGAGGCTCCCAGGTCCTCCGGGAAATCACACGTCTGAGTCAATGCCAAGAGCCCCAGTAGATATCTGTCTCCAAGACCTCTGGATGCCTCTGTCTCCCTCTCAGGCTTGTGCTGAACACACAACTGCACAGATAATGGCCGCTAGCTCATTTGTAGGAGCATCTCCTCTCCTTCTCAGGGGTCACCATTAGCGGTGAGAGGAGCAGCGTGAGGTTGTGAAACCACTCACTGCGTTCTCTCAGGCCTGTGCCTTCATGGAGGCAGCCTGTACATCCCACCAGCGGACCCCTCTTTAAAACCATCAGCAGGGAAGGAGGCCACGACACAGAGAAGTGGGATGACCCAGAGGTCTCCTCATGCAAACCCAGCCGCCTCCTCCCCGTTGGATGCTAGGGTGGGTCCTGAGGTGGGGAACAGCTGGGTAAGAGCTCAGAGAAGGAAGAAGGTGGTGATACTTCCCATGCCCATGGGACAAACTTGTGGGGGGTCCAGACCATCAGAATCTCCTTCTTGCTGTGGTCTTGCTATTCGCCCTCCATCCCTCTCTTCCCCCTCCTTTCCCTACTTTTCTTTCCTTTGCCTTTGTTTGGTTTTTGAGACAGGGTCTCACTATGTAGTTCAAGCTGGCATTGAACTCACTACAAAGCCCAGCCTGGCCTCAAAGTCAAGGGAACCCTTCTGTCTCAGCTTCCCAAGTGCTGGTATTATAGGTGTCTGCCACCAGGCACAGCTTTTCTTTCTGTGCTCTCCTGCGATGCAATCCTTTGGTCCAGCTCTCAGAGTGCCCTCAACTCCCTGCTCCTTCCCCTTGCAGGCCAGCTTCCAGATCAAATCTCTCCCCACCCCTCCCTTTCCTAACCCCCATCCTGCAGCTCCTCCTGAGGCACAGCAGACCCCGTGGGCCTCAGTGTCCCTCGCTGCCTCCTGCCAGCTTCCTGTTTCCTCCCTTCCTTCTGCCTCCTGGGCCTTCTCAGCCTCTTCTTCTGGCTTCTCCTTCCTTCCCCTGCCTTTGCATACTGGAGCTCCTTATGGCTGGGCCCCAGACCCCTTGCCTTCTCACTTAGCCTCCTCGTACTCCTAAAAATGAAAGCTCCACAAGGAGAACCACCTGGAATGCCAGCACTGGTGTTGGTAAGTATCTGTTGACTGGAAGACTATAACATCAATTTCCAGATTTGCAACTCGGATCTTCCCTTTCAAGAGCCAGGGGCACCAAACCGCTTCTTCATCTTCTTTCTTTTGATGTCCCCAAAGCAGTTCAAACTCAAACGTGTGACCTTCCTCATGTCCGACTATTCTCTCAGGGCTCCTACCTCAGGGACCAGTGCCACCACCCACCCAGCGGTTCGAACCAGGGACCTGCATGTTACCCCAGACTCACTTCCCCCACACTCTCTCCAGCAACCAGCCCCCAGGAAATGGACCTCCTAAGAATCCCAGTTTCTTTGCTGCGTCCCACCCTGACAAGCTGCCAGTCCCGCAGGGACAATGGTGTTAAACTGATTCTGTCAACCTTAGCCCCTCTATGACCCATTCTCTCCATCAACACAGCCATCTTTCAAATCAGCCAAGTGGTATCCTTCTCTGCTCAGGCCCTGACAACGTTCCTTGTGACCTCTGGGCTGGCGACCCCAGTCCTTGGTACAATCCACCGAGCTGGGCCCCTTTTCCCTTGCTCTTTGATTTACAGCACTGTGAGCTCTCCACTTGCTTTCCTGCATTAAAGCTCTACAACTCACTGACCTTTGAGGTCTTGAGTTGTCTGCTCCCCAAGATTTCTGGACCCCTTTAGTCCACTATCCTGAAGGTCTGATTTCCCTGGCCACAAGGGAGGCCCAAGTGTCTTTTGAAGGCTCTCCAGGGATCTAACATGCGGGCTGAGGATCACTGCTGGCGCACACATGGGGCCATGAGGATTATGCTGGAAATCTCTACCTGCTTTACTGCGGAGGCTGGAGAAATCTGTGCTCCTGAGCTAGCTGTCGTTAACCTGAAGCTGACGCTGGCTCATGCTTCTGATGTCCCTGCTCTTGGAGCTGAGCATGACACAAAGGCATGCTGCCCACTGCTGACAGTGCTCGAGGCCTGAGTCCCTCAGGCTGCTGCCCTAGGACCAATAGGTTTGGGCTTAGACAATTCAAGAAGCTGATGGCACCAGCCCCACAGGGTCCCCAGCACTGGCCTGTATCATGTTCCATCTGGTGTCCCTACTTTCCTTTCCAGAGGCTGACAGTGGGTATTTGGGGGAAGAGGACATTTCATCTGAAGGGGAACCAGTATTTCATCAAGCAAAAAGATAATTCAGTTGTTTTACAGAAATTTCTACAATGTCCTGCCTCACGCTGGGAGCATTGGCAACCTGGTATGCAGCTGGAATCTTCTTTAGTTCTTATAAGAACAAATATCAAGGTCAGGAAAAGGAGAGAGGTAAGACAGAGCAGATGGCTGCTTTGATACCTAGTGTGGTGCAAAGCACAAAGCCACGGCTCTGCGGGGAAGCAGAGGCGCGTGTGGGGCTGACCTGATGATGAAGGGGCCTCTGACCTCCAGGAGCTTCCGTTCACTGCTGAACCTCTGCAGAAGGTTGATCATGAACTTATAAAAGTAGGAGTTCATGGTGGGAGTGGAAGGAGAGCATTCTAAGCCTTTGGTACCTGCAGAGAAAGGAAGAGGGTCAGAATTTATTCTGATTATGTGCCTACAGGGTGATGAAACCCATACAGAATACAATAAATTGTAAACACCTTAAATGTGTGTGTGTGTGCGTGTGTGAGAGAGAGAGACAGAGACAGAGGCAGAGACAGAGACAGAGAGAGAGAGAGAGATGCTGTGTGAAATGAATGAGAAAATCTTGAATAAAGGGCCATGGTTTGAAAGAAAAAAAGTAAGGACCAGGCCAGTGTGTTGAGGACATATAGGAAGCATGTTTTGCTTCCTGTAAAAATACCCATTTATCTGTCTACTCCTCCATTCAACCCCAAACTACACAGTGAACCTCTCTTACATGTTAAGACTTTGGGGGCTAGGGATTTAGCTCAGCGGCATAAGCACCTGCTTTGCAAGCAGGCAGTTGTGAGTTCGATCCCCGGTACCGATAAAAAAGGAAAAGACTTTGCTAGTGCTATGATATTGAAAACAAAAACAGTCTTCTACTCATTAGCCCAATAAATGGGACACTTGGGTATACCTGGCCAGGAGAGGACAATGACAAGTCAAAGAGAACAGCAGGATAAGCCAGGCACACACTCTCAGTGGTTAACAGAACCAGCAAATCCCTGAGAGGCAGAAGCCAAACTCTCTCTCCAGTTTTAAGTGAGAAAAAAAATAAATGGTGAGCACACCCACTGAGTTAAAGACAACAAGCACCGAATTGTGTGAAATGTTCTAATCTTCACCTAACATTTGGAAGGCAAACATCCTTTCTTCCTCATCTTCAGGAAAAGATGCTCTTTTAGCATGGTGCTCTGAACACCTTCAGAGTCCTAAGCTGGCTTTGTAACAGGAAATGCAGTGGCCCCTCTGACATGGGTCCGAGCTGAAAATATGCTGAGGGCCGGTGACTGCCAACCGTTCAACCTGCGCCCCTCCTGTGCGCTCAGTGAGGCGTCCAGCACTGTAGGAGAAGGGAAAGGCTGACGGGATGCTTGGATGGTCCCGGCATGGTGTGTCCAGATGCCCAACTCATCCCTTCCTTTCTGATGCACGCTGACCTTGACGACAAAAGTCGCAAAGAAATGAACAGAGATGGCAGTCATTTAGTCTGTCCAACATACTATCAGGGAATCTTTGGAGGAACACCAGCTTCACTGAGATTATAGCCATCTGCCATAAAGTGCACCCTTTCAAAGTGTGTAATTCGGAGCTTTTTCAGAATATTCATAAAGCTGTAATCAGCACTTATTCTGGAATATTCTAATCACTCTCAAAAGAAATTCTACTGTCCTGTTCTCATCTGCTCCAGGCCCTGGAGACCGCTGATCTTTGTTTCTTTGTTCTTGCCCCTTCTGCACAATTCTGGACACATATAAATGGAAACTTAAGAGTACATGGCTTCTTTATGCAGTGTATTTAAAGGTCTCTCTTCATAATATGCATCAGTTCCTCATTTATCTTACTAGTTTTGGTACCTGGGATTGAACTCATGATCCTGTGCTTGCCAGCAGGTGCTATTATACCCACTAAGCTGAATCTCCAGCCCCAGTTCTTCATTCTTATGACTGAATAATGTTCCATTATATGATATACCATATGTCATCCATTCATCAGATGATGGCTGTTTGCACTTTTTGGTTATTGTATGAATAATGCAATTGGGAACATTTCACTTGCAAGTTTTTTCCTGCAGGGCCATGGTTTCATTTCTCTTGGGTATTTACCAAGGAATGGGATTGCTGGTTCATATGGCAACTCTATATTTAACATTTGAGGAATTGCCAGACCTTTTTCCATAGTGGCTGTACCATTCGATGTTCCCACTAGCAATGTAGGAGGGTTCCAATTTCTCCTCATCCTGGCCAACATTTATTATCTGCCTTTCTGATTATAGCTGTCCTAGTGGATGGGAAGTGGTACCTCATTGTGGTTTCGATTTGCATTTCTCTAATGACTAATGATGTGGGTGTGTTTGCTAGCCATGTGCATGTCTTCTCTGGAGAGATGCCTACTCAATTCCTTTGCCCATTTTTAAGTTGTGCTATTTGTCTTACTGAGTTGTAATGGTTACAAGTCTCATGTATTGGTTACAAGTGTCTTTTCAGGTATGTAACTTGTAAATGCTTTCTCCCATTCTATGGAGCTGTATTTTCCCTTTTTTGATGGTGCCTTTTGAAGCACAGAATTTAATTACTTTGTTTTGTCTGTTGTGGTGCTGGGGATTGAAACTCCCAGACTTCTGCATGCCAGGCAAATGCTATACCACTGAGCTACTCACACAGTCTCACAAAATTTTAAATTTTAACTAAGTCCAATGCATCTTTTTTCTTGAGCTGCTTACTTCTTCCAGCCTCTCTATGGTTCTGGTGTCTTGTGGGACTCACGTGGCCTTCCGCACACTATGAAAGGGTGAACAGGCATCAACAAAAGGTAAGCAAGATGTAAACTCTCTGAGGATCAAGTCCGATTGTGAGAGGTCATCTCAAGTGCCAGAAGTACTGGCCTAATGTGTGAAAGCAGAATGTGCATAACTGTCCAGAGCCTTGGAAGGGAGTCTCACCAAGGAACCCCCAAGGCTCTTGGGTACCACTGGTGAGATGTTCCTCTAGCAGTTCCGCCTTCTGAGCTAGGCTCAGACTTCTCTCAAGCTCACTTCTAGTTCTTATAGGAAAGTGGCTGGAAACTCAAAAGAGGTGTTTTTCAGACTGGTTTCTCCCAGCTGTGGGTTACTTTATGAGGATTCCTTACCAGGTGCCACATGTCTGAAACCCACTACCCTCATCTCTGAGACTCTCTAGGCAGCCCCAGTGAACCTGGAGTGAGCGTGGAGTGCAGAGCAGAGTCAACAGCAGGCCTCATTGAACTTCTTCCTGTTTGGACTCTGTTCTGGGTTGTTACGGTTTGTGTCTGGATGTCCCCTCAGAGCTTCATGCAGACATGGGACTGGACTTCTAGAATTTGTGATCAATTCATGGTCCAGTGCTGGGATTATGTAAGTGTTACACCTATCCTCGGGTGGGTACCCTGCATACAATATAAGGGAGGGAAAGAGGCCTGCTCCCTCTCCTCCCTCCCCTTTTGCTTTTTTTTTTCTTGTACCAGGGATTGAACTCATGATCTTGCGTGTGCCAGGCAGGCGCTAATACCACTGAGCTAAATCCCCAGCTCCCTTCTGCTGTTCTAGCAGCTTGTTGCCCTCTGCCACACCACCTTGCCCTGGAGCCAGGATTATGGACTGAAACCTCTATAGACTGTGAGCTAAATAAACCTTTCCTTAATTTTGGGCAGCAGGTATTTTGTCTCAGAAAAGTAACTAAGACAGGGGTCTCTGCCTGAGGCAGCTTGGATGGAAAGGTCCGAGTGTCTCTGAAATGGCTATTTACAGAATCAAATGTCACATTCTCATGGAGCTACCCCAGGCCCTGCTGGGGTGATCTCTGAACAGGTGGTCGCAGATACAAATGCTGAGGTAGCCTCACTTCACCCCATCCTCAGAGATTAATTCAGAGGCCCAGTGACGGCCTGGCTGCGGAGTAGAGACTTCTTCCATAGATGGGGACTGAGGCCTATTTAACTTCAGGGTTCTACTAGTTGCACATTTGTATGGATTCCATGTGTCCCTGTCCCCTTCCTATTCTTCTGTGTGCACCCTTTGCCCATCTCATTTTTAGGTCTAGGGCTATTTAGGCTCTAAAGTATTTCAGAGGACAAGGAGGGTGGGGAAGGAAAGGAGATGCAAAAAGAATTATGATGTGCTATGCACATGTACTAACTCCTTATAATCAACATAATCATATGTATTGCATTCATGTATTAATAAAAATAAAAATCGAAAAAAAGGTCCAAGATGGTACCATGAGGAGTAACCATTAAAAAAATCCTCCTTGGCTGAAGCCACCTACACCTAAGGGCTCCAGACTCCCAGGGTGGTAGGAAGCACTGAAGGTGGCCTGAGTTTCCTTATCTGTAAGTGGGGGCACTAAGAGCACCTACTGAATGAGAAAACATGTAATGCACTGGGCCTAGGGCCTGCCACAGCCTGTGCTCAAAAACGAGGGCTTCTCCTATCCTGGAGCCCTGCACAGGACAGACTACTCTCACACGTCTTGGGCTGTGGGACTATATGGAAACGTCTGAGTGGGGAAACTTGGGATCTGAGACTAATTCAGTGTTCTACTGCAGTGTCCCCCTATCCACCAAAACACACATCCCAGTGGGGAGACCACCACCCTCTTCAGCTGACAGACTGGCTGAGGACAGCAGGAGAGAACGCCTGGGGGTGCTCTGCACACATCCGATCTCCTGAGCTTCCACTCTGGGCCCAAAACAGCTTCTCCCGCCCAGGCTGCACAGTGGCCCTTGGGGTAGGGGGGAAGGAAGGAGGGAGGAGGTAGAGGAAGAAGAGGAGGAGGAGGAGAACCCCCATTAAGTGATTTGCATCCTCACAGTGCAATGTGCAACGGCTGCAGGGAAAGCTTTTGCAGCCAGCCCTGCAATGCTCCTGCTGTCTAGACAACAAACAGTAAGAAGCCAGTCACTCTCTGATGAGGGCTGTGGGGCACACCTTCCCTGACCCCTGGCTAACAGAAAGCCAGGGTGTGATGGGAGCTCCAGGGGAGCAGCCATCAACAGCAGGACCTTCCATCTTCCAGGATGCCATATGTCAGAAAGACCACAGCTGGAAGAGAGGCGCTCCGTTATGGCTTGTTTATAGATATTCCCTTAAAGGCTCATGCATAGGTGGGGCTTTTCAGAGGTGGCTGGATCATGCATGTGTGGTACTGAGTTAATTGAACTGGTTTGGCATAGTTCTGGGGGTGGATAATGGGAAGGCCCATCCTGGGTGTGGGTGGCACCACCCACAAGTCTTGTAACCTGGATGGGATAAAAGGGAAAGGAAGGCTTGCTGTTGCTGCTTCCACATCCCTCTGTCATGTGCCATCCTGCCTTGGAGCCAGCCAAGTATGGACTGAGACTTCTACAAACTCAGCTGAAATAGACC